TATTCTTGTACAATTCATCTTAGCAATACTCTCATCAGGACAGAATTTGGTGCTCATTGGTGCTCATTCCTCTGTTGCTGGAGAATTTACCTGTTGATTCCTGTTTGCTGGGACCTCAGTGGGTTTCCTCTTCACTGCGAAAGCTGCTTCTAGGGGTGAGGATTCAGAAGTTCTGTGAAGTGCAGGGGTATGAACAATTCAGAACAGATTATTTGGAGTCCACTTGGCTGTTTGGCCTGGCTTGGTTTATAGCAGTTCTTACACTAATAGAAGTCCACATGTCAGATGATAATGGGAAACTGGGTGCAGAGGTCTTGTCACATTGGTTGGGAGGTGAGTTTTTCATGTTTATAAACAGCTGGGATCTCTCAAGAGCCTTGGCAAATGATATTATTACCCACAGCTTTCAAATTATACATTCTGAAGTGATTGCCATGCAATTTAGTTAATGTTCCTCTCCTGGTTTCTAAATGAAAAAGAATGGGGTAAGTCATAGTCAGATCCAATTCTCCAGTGAGTTCTTGTGGATGATAAGGCCTTGCCTTTACTGTATGCTGGGTCTTCAGTACCTCAGACAGTTTCAATTGTGGAATGGGCAGTACCAGTCTTTAAAAAGATGGAAAGTTGAGGTATTTTTATTTCTGGAAGGGGTAATGGCAGACTGGAAGTACAGCTGGTTGTGGTGGGACTCTTTAGTTAACACCTGAAAGCCAGAGCCTCCCTTTTATCTGCACAGGGGGGATGACACCTGTTTAACAGGGCTCTTGTTCAGTACGAAGTAGCCTGAGATGCTGGTTTCAGAGGTGTTTTGGGAGTGCAAGGCTGGTCTGAAACAGAATATGCTGAGCTGACAAGAGGGTAAGGAAATACTCTGAGTGGTGATGTGAGAGAGATTCTTGTACTGGCTATAGAGGTGTTCTCAACAAAAGCAAAGCACCTCTAGTGGCAGTATGATAGTTGCTGCTTCAAGATCATGACAATACCAAAACAGATAAGAGTGTTCCTGCAAAGGTTGTGTCAAAACAAGATTGTTTTCTTGCAAGAATATTCCTTTCTAGTACCTTGACTTCATTACTGCTGAGTCAATGTAATGTAAGTGCTGTCGTTTCATCTGTCAGATAGCGGTTCTATTGTGACCATCACTGCAACATTAATGAACAGGCATGTGACCTGCTCAAGGAAAGAATGCTTTCTGGGCTTCAGGCAGCTGGAAAGAAGGGAATTGCTAAGGAACAGCAATTTGTTCTCAAAGCTAAAAATGAAAACCTGGATGCTCCTTGATCATCATCTACTAAATTGAAAGTGAACAATAAACTGAAGGGTTTTATTAGAGGTTTAGGTCATGGCTGCTTCTTAAGGCCACTTATATCAGCTGGTAGGGGATTGTTGGGAGTACTGAAAGACACTCTAAAAGCATTTAAATAACTTAATATTACCACTGTCATTAATTCTCTGGATTATTGAAGTTCTTTCTGGCTGTTAAATGGTTGCCAAAGTGAATGTGTTCCGAGAGGGAATAATTTAATCCTGAAATTTACCTTCCCTTTTTTGTACTTGGTGTCAGAAGGGATTGGTAGCACAGCAGTTCTCCCTGGTGGTTAGGACATAGAAGTGTAAGGATAATCAGGAGATGGAAGACTGGATTTTGATCTGGTTTCAGTTTTTGGCTGGCCTTCAAGGTGCTTAATTACAGAGGTTTCCTGGTTTCTTCATTTGGAGCATGGGACTAATGGTCTTCCTCTGACATGGGAGGCCCAGCGGGTGTTTGTGAAATGGTTTTGAGTCCCTCTGGGGGAAAGAGTTTTCCTCTTTTTCCCCTATCCCTGAAGAATTTCAGACTATGCAGGAGGGATGAGGTAGAGCTGATGGTACTATGAAGTAAATGGCTCACTGGCAACAGAGATCCTGGAAGTAATGAGGGTGCTATAGGAAGAACAAGTTAGTGAGGAGCTGTGGTGGAAATGGGCAGGGCTTTCACAATTAATCCTGATAGGAGGATGACTTTGGAGCACTGAGGAAAGACTTAAGGTTGTAGAAGCCCAAATAGTAAATTGTTACTTCTTAGGAAAGAAATATTCTTGGGGGGGGACATGGGTACACAGGACATCCTTCGGGACGGATTTTGTGCTGGTTTTGGTGGCTTAGATACACGCCTGTTCAGCTGCCATCCATAGATCTTATTAAAGCACATCTGATGCCCTGCAAGGTCTCTTGAAGGATGACTTAATGAAGAAAACTTCAGTTTAAGCAATCTGGAATGAACGGAGCGCTTTGAGGACTCTCATCTCAGGACACTGACTTCCCTTTCCAGTGATGCTTGTCTTTTTCCACTGAGGAGCAGTGCTTTGGAGTATACAGCCAGCCTTGGGAATGGTGGATGCCCAGACAGGAACAGCAGCATGAATTTCACTCTGCTTTTTATATTGTTCAGAACTAAATCTCTGCAGCTTTGAGAGGAATCTGCACATTGATTCAAGCCTCCGTCCCAAACACTAGCTTACTGCTATGGACTTTATGTAAAGATGTACGGGGGCACCAAAGGAGCTTTTACAGCTCCTGCAAACTGCAGCATCCGCTCAGTAGGAGGAACAGTTGGATCTTTAGGATCCACCATGCATCACTTCAGATGCAGAGGTCTTACACAGCTGCAAATCCAGCTGTGACAAGGATTACTTATTAGCTGAAGCTTATTTCTTACCTTCAGCTGTGAATGGTGTCAGGGGATAGGAGAAGACAAGGCTGAGTCAAACCCTATTTTTGGTAAAATGAACTAAAGAACAAATGTGCTTTGTGGCTGTGCCATAAGTAGCAGAGACTGGCATGAAGAAGCAGCCCTTGGTCACGGAAGGATGACCAAGCTGAGGCTTTTCTCAACCCAATGGTGTCTCTCCTTGCCTAACCCTTGCATTTCCTGGAGCCTTGTTTGCACTTCCAGATGCTTTTTGCGTTTGTTGCCGGTTGAATTTCAAGAGCAGGAGGAATTGTGGTGTCTGAGTTGGTCAAACAGCTGCTGAGGATTGTTCTGGTCGAATGCCGTCATCCTGAGGAGAGTCATAAGCCCAATTTCTGTGGCCATCTTCATAAACCTCTTATGGGTAACTAATCAGCAAAGCAGCTTCTCTTTACAGACCATCGCACAGACTGAGACATCAGTGGGGTCCCCTTGGAAATGCTGAAGGTTCAGAGTTGTAACGCTGCATGTTAAAACTGGTTTTGGCAGAGGGAACGGGTTTTTCTTCATCTTGGCTTTAAGGAAAGGCTCTGCCTGTCTCAGGGGTACACATTTAAGAGTCAAATGCTGTGGGTTTGAATAAAAAGCATTTAGATGACAAAATACTTGAGCAAGTTCCTGAGAGAGCACCTGCTTACCTGTATGCGAGAGTAGGGATCACTTGACTTCTTAGTGCCCAAGCCTAAGGGATAATGGAATTAAAACAACTGTGTCGTGTTACTTAAACTTTCCCTTTAATCTACATCTGGAGAAATGTGACAAAATTCCCTGTGGACCTAAATAGTAGTTGGGGCTTTTCATTAACAAAACAAGAACTTTTTTATAGATCCTAGATAAGAAAATTAAAATGCTGCGCTCCTGTTTGTGTGGTTTCAGCAGTTCAGCTCTGAGCTGTGTTAAGGTTAATAACTCAGACACTTGATGCCTCCTGTTGTACATCAGGGTGAAGCAGCACAAACCAGACTTGCGTTTGCCAAAGCATAAAGGAATATTATTTAGAAGAATGGGTTTTGAGGCTGTGAAGGGCTGTTGTTAGTGCAGACTGGGAGGGATGGGTAGAACACGCAAGAGTTTTCTTTCCCCCTTCTATGTCCTTTATGCAAGTACTAATTACAATAACATTTGCAGCCGGAGGTTTTGATGTCTTAATTCAGGAGTAGATGCGCTGCTGGTGATGATCCAGAAAGCATCTGTGTGTCTGGAAGCTCAGGAACAGCTCCAAGGTGGATTTGACAGATAGGTCAGCAGCCAACATCTGGTAACGCGAAGTCCATGCTGCACGTGTTCTGGGGAGGATCCACACAGCCTCCAGGGTTTAACACAGTGTTGATGGGTTTTGTACTCCACTGCTACAGACAGTGATGGTCATGGAGTAGCCACCATCTGATATTGCAGCTTACTTCATTCCACTGCGTCTTTTGAGCTGAAGGCATCTCCCACCAGCCTTGTGTCTCTGCAGGTCGCTGGCTGCGTCTGTCCTCAACGGAACCAACCTCTGACACCACAGTGGCCTCATGCGAGCGCCTTCCACACCTCCGTGGGCTCTTTATTGTTCATCCATGGCTGTTGAGGGTGCACCATGATGCGTTCCGAGGCACCTTCACGGCTGGCACGGGCCGGGCCGCCTCCCAGCATGGTGGTGGGTGCGAGGAGCGTGGCGGTGGGTGCAAGGAGGGCGGCGGTGGGTGCGAGGGTGGCGGCGGTGGGTGCGAGGAGCGCGGCGGTGGGTGCGAGGGTGGCGGTGGGTGCGAGGGGGGCGGCGGTGGGTGCGAGGGTGGCGGTGGGTGCGAGGAGGGCGGCGGTGGGTGCGAGGGGGGCGGCGGTGGGTGTGAGGGCGGCGGTGGGTGCGAGGAGCGCGGCGGTGGGTGCGAGGGTGGTGTTGGGAGCCCGCTGGTACCGGGCAGTGCCGTGGGGCGGGCGCTGACCCGGCTCCCTCGCAGGGGCCGCGCCGCGCACACTTTTGTCTCGCCTCATGTGCGGATGAGCCAATCGCAGCCCACCTGAGATGAGCGACGGGGCTCCTGCCAATCACCAACAAAAGGCGCCGCCGCCCAGGCCCAGCCAATCACCGCAGAGCAGACGTAGTGCTTCACCAATGGGTTTTTCCCGGTGAGGCAAGGAGCCTCGGTAGAGACGGGGAGGCGGGCCATAGGGCAGAGTGGCAGGATGCTGTCGAATAGGAGCTCGGGAGTGCTTTTGAACCGTCCAATGAAGCGGCGGCTGGAGGGCGGGCCTTAACGCGGGGATAAAATGCGCGGCCGGTGCGGGCGGCGGCCGCAGTTGTCACCGGCAGCAGCAGGGTGAGGCCGGGCGGGGAAAGGAGGGGAGCTCCGTTCCCGGGACTGTCACCGCCCGCTGGCCGCTCCACGGAGCCCTTTCCTCGGCGTCCATCTCCAGCGTCCCCGCCGCCATGACCACCACCACCACCTTCTCGGGCATGGACCCCAGTGGCAGGAACAGCTCCAGGTCCGGCGGGGGCCTTTGGGACCGTTAGGGCGGCGGGGCTGAGGGCGTTCGCGGCGGGGCCGGCACTCCGCCTCCCCTCAGGGCCCGGCCCGCTGTGGAGGGGGCTCCATGGAGCGGCTCTGAGGGGCGCGGAGCCGGCCCGGGGGGGGGGGTGCAGCGGATGCCGGCCGGGTCGGGGGTCGGGGTGTGCGGTTCTTCCTCGCCGTTTCCCGGGTGGGAGGCGGCGGCCGCACCCACCCGGGTGCCTTGGGCTGCCGGTAGGCTCGGCTCGGCTCGGCTCGTCAGCTGCGCTGCCGGTGGCGGGGGGGGGGCCCAGGCCGGGACCGGAGCTGTGCCCTGCCGCAGCTGCTCGGGAGAGGTGGGTGTGGGAGCTGCGGGGAGGGAGCTGGCGAGACCCACCCCGGGTGCTCGGGCGTGCGCCCCTGCCTCTCCCGAACAAAGAAGGGAGGCGACTCCCTGCGCGGCCGCGCTCCGCACCGCGGGGGTTGGGATGGGGGGGGGCTCGGCACCCGGCTGCCCTCCGCTGCCTTCCTCTGCCCGCCGCTCTCCCCTCCGTGCGGCTGCCAGCGCCGTTCTTAGCCCTCGGCCTGGCGGAGCAGCCGCCTTCTGGGTGGGGCCGAGCGGGCTCCATTGTCTGCTTCCCCCGGCCTCCCCACCTGCCCGCTTCGGCGGGGGCCGGCCGGGGCCGCTCCTAGCGGCCGGAGGTGGCCGCTCCGTTGTTTGACCGTCGGCGGGCAGGGTCCGTGCTCGGGCCTGGGGGGGGGGTGCCTCTTCCCCGGCCCTGCGGTGGCAAACGGGGGCTGGGGAGCTGCGGGAAAGGGGGGGGGTCGGGGAGCTGTAGCCTGTCTGAAGACAAAGAAAACTTGACAGGTAGGTCTGGAAGAGATGCTCGGCACTGTGAGGCACCCGCGTTCCTGCAGCAGGAGCAGCTGGCGTGGGGAGGACCGTGTCGTGTGTTTCTATGAGGTTTTTGGCCTGATAAAGCAGCTGCTTCCTGTTTGCTTCTGGCTTTTTGGGGTGCGTTGTAAGACAAAGCAAACCCTGTATAAGAGTGTGCTTCCTGGATGGAGCTGCGGTGAATCTGCAGTAAACATCACTGGGTATCAGGTGCAATTTTAAGAGCGGCTCATTGCTTGAAGTGTTAGATGTGGCTTTGACCAAACGTGTTGCAATGTCTCGAGGCTGTGAGCGGCTCCTAATAAAACCTGTGAGCCTTTCGCTGAGGTTGGCAAGAGGGATTATTCCTTTTTAACAGCTTGAGTGATGGCTTTCTTCCTTCAATTGCCTCTTCTGTTAATTTCATTAAGGCTGTCAGTGGAAACTTGTGCTGTTAAGAGAGTACAGGTTTCACTGCTCTGGTAAAATAAAGGTGATCTGAGATGTGGAAACAATCCCTTTGAATAGTCTGTTCTTTGAATTACTACAACAGATGTCACTGAGAAAATAAACCTGCATGGGGACTTTTTCTTTGGGGAGAAAAAAAGATAAAGAAGCTTCAAGACCATTGCATTGTGTCTCTGCAGTCAGAAGGAAGACAAAGCAAGGCATAAAAACCCGTTCTGGATTCTCAATACATGCTCCACAATCTCCTGGGATCTTCCCATTAACAGCTGAGCATTACTGGACCTTTGGAGAAGAATTTTGTTAGGAACAGTAGCGTGCTGGTTAAGTAACACTAAATACCCACACCACACACCTGTGTCAATTGAGCTTTGTGATCTCTGTAGGCTGGAGAAGTGTTGCGTTGCATCTGGGATGCAATAGGCACTAAGTCTCAAAAGAGCTAAACCTTTTGACTGATGGTGATGACGTGGTGAAATCAGACATGTTCTTTGTGTGCAGTTCCTGGGTTTGGTGCATTGACAAACTCTGCACTGTTCTCTGCTGCAAAGTTCTAGCTTGATTTTATGTACGCCATCCCAAGTGTGTTCTGGGCTTCATTTCAGAGCACTGGGTGTCTTAAAGCCCAGTTCTGTTGATGTACTCACATCTGTCCGAGGCTTGTGGCAATTTTCCTTATGTGTTTTTATGCTCCTAGCTATTGTCTGGCTTCTCCAGCTAACACAACATCTCATGCTTAAGAAAATAAGATCTGAAGGAGTTTACATTTAAAGATGTGTTTTACTGCTCCTGTTGTTTGGGTTGATGTCTGCACGTTGAAAAGCAGACCACAGTATAGCTCACAAAGTACCAGGCAGGCTTCTTTTGTGTCTGTCTAATAGCAGGATTGCTAGATTTAGGTTATATACCTGGAGCTTCATATATGTGTGTCTCTTAATAATAGTTTAGCATAAGACTGTTTAATAGCCCCTTTTAAGTCTAGTCCAGCAGCGTACTGCAGACTTAAGGGTTTTTCCAATGGAACAAATGTGGATAAAGGCTGCAGCCCCCAGTTATCAGTGATACAACCAGTACTTTGGCTCCTGTCTTTGCTGTGCTGCCAGTTAGAAGATTAATGTTGGAGTTCTCAGGGCTCAAAGTGTTGCTGACGAGACAAGTAGTGGAGTTACAGTGTCTGGCTTGAGTGCTGGCAGGCAGCTTGCCTTTAGAGCTGAAATCCTGCACTGAAGACACGACACCCTGTGTCATTTGTTAAAAGGCAGTGCTTAATACAGTCATCTCGCACGGTTTCTGTCTGGACACAGTACTGTCTGGACAGTCTGACTGCCTGGTACAAGAGCCAACTATGATCTCTTGGCTTATGAGTCTTGTTTTACATGTTGGACTGCACTCAGTAATGGTCCCTGCAGGGTTGTAAAGCTGCCTCTTTCTCTCCCTAGAGTGCTGCGTCCTCCTGGAGGTGGGTCCAACTTTTCCCTGGGTTTTGATGAACCAAAAGAGCAACCTGTGAGAAGGAACAAAATGGAATCCCACATCTTTGGAACTCCTGAAGAAAATCCACCTTCCTGGGCTAAATCATCGGGTACGAACGTAGGGCTTTGTTCCCAGAGCTGCTGACATGTGCCAGTTCCAGTTTCTGAATGGGCCTGAAGCTGTTGGTGGCTTAGTGTAGAAACCAGAGTTTGCTTCCCACATGGGAGCTGAGGGCTATAAATGATGTCTGCTTGCATGAGACTCTTTATTTCTCATTTTGAATTGCTTCCAGAGTTTTGCTTGGCTGGGAATTCTTTTATGCAAGTCATGGGCATAGGTGTTGCAAGCAGGGAATTGTATTTGGGATGCAATTTCTCCAAGTCACAATAAGGTGAACTTGTGTCTTAGTGGCACTGGTTGGTCTTGGATATTCAGAGGAAGTGTAACTTTGTGGGATTAAGCTTCCATCTCTGCAGAGCACTGCCAGTATGGGCGGCTCTGGGACCCCAGTTTCCATCTGTTTAAAGAATACCCTTAACTGCGTAATGCTATTGTAAGACTGTGAGTTACTATTGAAAGGTCCAGGAAGGGTAAACCAACCCCCAGTGATGTACTTTCCCAGGAAGTTTATCTTGCAGCCTGATTAGCATCAATCTCTGCTTGTAGGGACTAAGCCAGGTGAAAGCGGAGAAAACTGTGAATCAGCTGGGCCACAAAGAAGAAACTCGACTGATGCAAACTGTGGAGACTCTGTAGATCCCAAGGTCAGTACGTTAACTAGGAGGGCCCTGATAACGGGACAATTCATGCTCTGTGTGGGATGGCTTTATCACTGTGTTCACACAGTTGGAAACATTGGAGGATGTGAAGCCTCAGATCTGTTCTGTTCCTGAAGGTTCACTTTTCCATGTGATAGTCTTACAGCATAAGCTGATGAAGGGCTGGATTTTTCTAACAGGACCACTTCCTACAGCTCTCAGCTCTCATTGATGAGCCAGTAATGAAGTGGAGTGAAATCAGCTTCAGACATGTGTAATGGTGTTTTTAATAGACTTTACAAACAGTAGTTACCTACAACAGGCTGGATCTGACAAAGGACTTGGTTTCACCTCCCAGCAAGCACTTAGCTCAGTAGCATGAATGCTTGTTTTATTTCTGTTACTGTCATCAGGTGTGTTCTTGGCTGAGATAAACTGTACTTGGTGGCAATATGGAGCATGATTTTAGTGTTAACATGGGATTCACTTGAGGTATGATTATATTTAATGGGAAAAACAAAACCAGGCTGAAGTGCAGCAATTCCTCCAAATTTAGGAAAACAGGAACCAGGATGGGCTGCACTTGCCTGAATAAATTCTAGAGGTGGGGAAAGAAGAAACCTTGTTCTTTACAGCTCTCCAGCTTTAGGTTTTCTGGAAAGAGCTGGGCAGGTAAATTGTGGATCTCAGCTGTTGCAGCAGAACCTTTACGCTCATGGATGCTAAAGAGCAAGTTTCAGTTTGATAACTGGCATCAATCACAACCCATTTCTTGTAGCTTTTTGTAACAATAAGCACTTTGAGCCACAAAACGGTTCTTGCAGGAAATAGATTGTTCCAGTTAGCAAATATAAGTAAGATTAAATTTATAGCTGCTAACCACTGAAAACACAAACTGTTGAGTGTATTTTCTATTTAATTGTATTCAGTACTGTGGTTCTCAGCTTTGCAGATAGTTCCAATGTGGGATACTTTAACTTTGTACAGTAGATACAGCTGCAAACAGCAGAAGCTGGAGCTAGTGCTTTGTAGCCCCATCTGAGATTTAACTTGGTATATTTCTATGAGTCTCTGCGTATTTTATATCCTGATGACTGCAGTTCTACTGTGTAATAAACAATGTTAAATCTATGGAAGTTGCTGAAACCTCCTGCTATTGGGGAGCCTTGGCCGCTGCTGGAAGACTTTTCTGTATCTTTGTGGCAAGTTGCAGCCTGTGAAGAGATGCAGCATGAAAGGAATGGGTTTAGCTGTAGTGAAGAGAACCTTATCAGTAACCTTGCAAAGAACTGATCTGTATTTCACAAAGGGATGGAAGAAATGCTCTTGGCCTTGCTAACAGATAAGTATTTGGTGTTGGAAAGAGTTGCTTAGTGGAAGGGAGGGGACACTGAACTGCTGTGAATTGCTTACCTTATTAATTCCTTGTCACTACTGCTCAGCAGTTACAGTGCCCTGGTTACTGTCTGCTGCCTCATGGAGGGTGATGTCTGTAATAAGTGTGTCCTTGCCCACCTATGTCCTTCACAGTGTGAGAACAAGTACAATGCCACATGTTAGAGGCAATCAGTAGTATCTTTCTGCTTAAACATTAAGAAGTATACCAGATAAATAAACAGCTGATGAAGTTCTATTAGTCATTCTGTAAGAATTGGGGCTTACAAACCCATAATATCTGCAGAAATACGTATGCAGAACCCACCACTCTGGTATCTGTCCCTAAGAGCCTATTGTTGGTCTGCAAGTGCTTCACTGAGTCTGTCACTTGGAAGGTGTTGCCCAACCACCATGGTCATAATGTGGGGTACTGAGTTACCCTCTTTGATGGAAGGGGAAAACACATTGTGAAGTGTGAGATTTAATATGTTTCTCTCTCTTCTAGGGAGAAATTGGTGGTGGTGAAACTTCTGGTGAGTAACTCCTTCAGACTCCTCTAGTAAAAGCCTTTTGCAGTTGGGGACTTCTGAAACAGAAGAGGACATAGGATATATAAATGGTCATGTGTTAGGATTGTTCCTGGAATCCATCAAATCGGTAAAGTCAGCTGGCTGCTTTAGTGGCTGTGGGATGAAATGCTGGAGTGCCTGGTAGCCATCAGGTTAACAGTGAGAACAGTCCTGTGCATTTCTTTTGCCAGCAGCAGTTGGTGTCCAGATTTGTACAGGCACTAGAAGGTGAGGTGGGTACCATCCTGCAGAGAGCTCAGTGATTGAGACTCCACTGCTCTTCTAGTAGTTTATAATTCAATAGTACAGTCAACCAGTTTTAGTTTAACAGTGCAGTTTCCTGTTGTCTCCTGCAGCAAACACTACATTCACATAAATAATCAAACCCAGCACCTGCATCTGGAAGTGTCTGCACTTACTGGCTTTTAAGGTGCTGTGCTTTTTAAATGCTGATTTCTGTCAGGGAAGTTCATATGCATACTGCAAACGTGGTGTAAACGGCCATTTCCCCTTGCAGCATGCGTGGTAACCTTGAAGTGTTTTCTCTAGCTCTGAGGCTGGAAATCTCTCTTTTTGTAAGTCTGACCTTAAGAATAGCTTACTTCCTGACCAGAGGAATGCGCATGTTGACTGTTGCTTTCCAAGTGCTGCTTTCAACACCTAGGAGTTGTGGGAGATCACTAAAGCCATTAGCAGCTCCCTGTCCTGAAAAGACTTCTGCTGGGAGGGGGAAGAGTATTCTCTGAATGTTTTACCTACCTCTAAGTGGTATCTGTGCCCAAAATTAGTCTTGCTGCTTCTAATCAAACTGTACAGGCTTCTTTAGTGTTTCTTTCCCATGTCTGTCCTATCTTAATTAGCACTGTAGGCAGCTGGAGTTTCTGTTTCAAGTAGGAGGATGTGGTTTGCTAATAGAAGTAAACTGATCTGAGGGCTCTGCTGCTTCTCCTGGTATTTAATGAGCTCACATGGGGTCGGATGAGAGCCCGCGAGCAGTGGTAAGGCAAGTAGAGAAGGGAAGGGAGGAAGCAGACGCAGGGCTGCGTTACTGGCCAGTGACTGGGGTGTTTGCTGTTGTAGCCATGGCTCAAATTGCATTTCTGTAGATGTGTAAGATGAAATAAAAATGACAGGCAGAGGTTTGAATGTTAAACTTCCACAGATGGTGCTTAGGAAGGAGTAGAAAGTGGAAACGGTGACTGGCAGATACCTGAGAACCTTGGTGGATTGTGAAGTTAATTTCTACCGTTGATAGCTTCAGGTATCAAGAGCTTAATGGAGCGCAGCATCTTGCTGAGCTGGCTGTGTCACTGCACTTGATGTTCCTGCTGTGTGAGATGGCAAGCATGAGCTGGTGAACATCCCACCTGTGGCACTTGTCTCTGGGCTGAATGAATACACCTCCAAGGCAAGACAGTTCAGTGCATAACCAGATTCTTAATGGGTTCCCATCATTAAAACAAAGTGGTTATTCTGTTGAATTTGGAAATGATTTTCTGTGTGTAACTGATTGTAAAACCCCAAGTAGGTGTCAGGTGTGTGCATCTTTATTAATCATGCCTGTCTAGGGGAAGAAAACCTGTTCCTTTTTGCATCAGTGTTCTTGCTGCTTGTTCCTTTCTGTGCATCAGTTTCCGATGGTTTGCAGTATACTCAGGAGGAAGCTGTTTGAGAGCTCATACCTTTTCTGATAAGGGAGGAACTTCAACATTTGATCTGATCCTGTTGCATTTACTACTCTAGTTATTAGGTTGAACTGATCTACACCTCGATTATGTGGGAAGCACTAATGTGTACCTCAGCTGGCCAAGTGAGCCTCTAAATGCTGTAGAAACTTCCCCCAAAGCCTCCTGTGACAGTAGTTCTGGTTTCTTTTGTGATTCAGTTAGCACTGTGTGCCTAATGAACGTGACTAGCTAAGGAGAACCAGCCAGCCCTCGATTGACTGTCACCAATGACTGACTCTACATGATGATACACAGGAAGGTGGAGTCTGGCATTTGGTGGACAGATCATCATTGGGAGTGCTGCACAGTACTTGGACTGTCTGCTGAAGGTGCAGACAATGGAGCATTCAGCTTTAAGTGAGCAGTGGGGATAGCCTGAGCTGTTCTCAGCTTGCTGAGTAAGCAGGCAGTGGTACACATGAGCTGCAGAGCTTCAAGCTTCATAGTAACTGTGGTGTTCAGATGTGGGTTAATGAATACAGCAGAGAATCTGTCTTGGAGATTGGTTCTGATTCATGGAGACTATACTAAGCTGCAGGAGCTCTTTGAGATTATTAGAAGCATGGATACAGGGGGGTCAGTGCTGCTGGTAAAATTCTGCATCAGAGATGCCATAGGATTGAAGGAAAACGGCTCCTTTAGATAGGAAGGCAGCTAAAGCTTAGGGGGCAAAGGGTAGTAAGGCTTAGTGCTTCCTTTTCATGTTGGAAAAATGAGCCATGGGAAGTGATGCTGGGGCTGGTTTTATTCAGTGCCTTCTTCTGTGACCTGGAAAAGGTAATGAACTGTGAAGTCTCCAATCCTGTTGGTGACATGAGTTCTTTCAAGTAGCCAAATTGTGCTGACAGTGAGAAAATCTCACTGTCAGGAGAACTCAACTCAATAAGGCAGGTAGTTTAAAAGGTGGCAGGATAGTTTTTGTGTAAGTAAGTATAAAGTAATGCATTGGGGGGGAGAACCCAACACCTAAATGATGCCAGCCTTGGGTTCAGCTCTGCAGCAGTTAACTCCCAGGATCTGCCTTGAGTCCTGTTCCTGAACTTCTGTGACACTCTGAAATGCTCTCAAGGAGAGGATGGGGAACAAGCCGTCGTTTTGCCTCTGTAAACAATGATATACCCACGTCTTGAATCATGTGTGCAGTTCTGGACATATAAAGAGCAGAGTGGAGTGGAGGTAAAAAAGGGGCAGAGGAATGTAAGGGGAAATGTAAAGGGATGCAGCAGCTGCTTTGTAAGAGGAGACTAAAATGGCTTCAGTTGCAAAAGGGAGAGGGAATAGGATCAAGATTTACTGAATCGTGAAGGTGAATCCTCCAAACCAAGAACTAGTGATACGATGAAACTAAAAGGGGTCTCTTAAATTCATCTTGACAGAGCTGATGGTGAAACTGCATTCCCTTCATCCCCCCCGAGTATCAGGGGCTGCTTGGTGCTGATTTGGGCCTTTGGCTCATACCTGATTGTGTTCATTTATGAAAACATGAGCTGCTGATGTGTTTGATGTGTTCCTTAATGAATTGTCAGTGGAGCAGATCCATTAGTTACTTGCTACAGTATCTAAAGTGCTTCCTATGAAGATTCCTCCTGTGTCCTGTCTTCACCTGTGGTCGTTCAGAAGCATTTAAATAGATTAAAGCTATTGTGTGCTTCCCAGGGGGTGTACAACTGGAGCCTCCCCATGCATGGCTGTTCCCTGGTCTGTCTCTGTGAAGCCTCAGAAGTGTGTGGCAGATGCTCTTCCCTCTAGTTCATGATATTGGGAATGTAGTTTGAGCTCTTGCTTCCAAGTCCTGGTGCCTCCGTGACTTGGTTTCCAGCACCTGCTCGGATTTGGGTTACAATTGGCACAGTCATACACTAATAACATGGACAAGACTTAAGCTGCTTGTCTTTAAAATATATATATATATGAAAAATTGATGGGTTCCTTAATAGCAGCCGTCTGAATGTGGCTCTTGAATGCCTGAAGCCGAACCTTAAGGCATCAGAGTACATCTGAAACACCTCAGAGGGCTGCAGCCTGTCCTGCCAGCAGGTTCCAGCAGCGCTCTGTGTGTCAGCCTGAAGCAGACTTAGAGGAGTTGATCTTCTGTCTAAGTCACGAACCATGGTTTCATCATCCACATCAGACACTTTAAAAGCTTCTTTTCTTCTAGAAATCACTGAGGCTGATGTAGAAGCTGCCCCAGGTCAGAGTGAAGAGAAATCCCTGCCTGCTGCACCTGTTCCTAGCCCAGTAGCACCAGCACCATCCAGGAGAAATCCACCCGGTGGCAAGTCCAGCCTAGTCCTCGGTTAAACCTTTCCCTTCCTGACTGTTTTGAACTCGTGTCTTGTTTCTTTCTCCACCCCCCACCCCCCCCATGCTTGTGAACTGCACAACTTGAGCCTGACTGTACATCTCCAATTCCTTTCATTAAAAAGAAGCACTTTATGTACTCCCATCTTTTGTTGAGATCAAGGGTTGGTTTTATTTTCTCCCCACTTCTGTCCTGTGTTTTCCCCTCCCCAGATCTACTGGAAGTGACATGAGTGTTTTCTAGTGATAGACTTGAGGGAAAGCTTTATGAAGTATTGTCATTGTAACTCAAAGGAGAGTAGATTGGTTCCAAGTGTGCTTAGAGGGTTTTTGTACCGAGGTTTTTTTAGAACCCCTTTAGCTTTACAAGGGTCTAGAATCCTGGTTAAAGAGGCCAGCAACCAATCAGCAAGAGCAGTCCCTTCCTCCACCCGCAGGATTTGGGGACCCTAAAGGGCTTCATTGACTGCATGGGGTTAAATGCCTTGAGCCCTGCTGTGCCATATGAACCCTGAAGTGGTTAGTGTACACCGTGCTGCCTTTAAAATATACTATAGAATCAAACACTTGATACTGGACTACTATGAAGCAGGGTATGTGCCAAATAGGGCTGACGAGCAGAGCCGCCTGGCCTGATGCTAGGAGGGGAATTCAGACTTGATTCAGTGAAGTGGAGTGGATCAGTGAAATCAATACAAATGACAGGGCCTTTTTTTTTTTACAACTGACTCAATGCTGTGCATGATCATGCTGGTGCTTGACCATGAGGTGGAAAAAACTCATCCTTTCAAGTGTGTGTTGTTATCTCACAAAGCTGGACTGTTGCTTACGAGTAAATAATATAGAAGTTTTGAAGCAGCGTTTCCTGTGTGGGTTTTATTTCAACTCTGGTCTCAGTCGGCCTTGGCTCAGCCTCTGACAGAGGTGGGATGCAGCGGAGGAGGAGTGTTTGTGTACCTCGTTTGGAGTTGCCATCTTCCTCTAAAGGCTGTGTCTGACTTGCCTCTATCTTCTAGGTCAGAGAAGTGTGGGGTATGGCGTGTTCTCTGTAACCTGCTTTATCCAAATGCTTGCTTCTATCAAGAAAATAGAGGGAAGTTTATTCTCACCATGAAAATTAGACCCTAACAGGGGAGGGGAGACCAAGCCATGGAGGTCTCTGTTGTCCTGGAAGGGGATCTGCTGCACAATAAGCCAAAGCAGTGGATCTGCACAGAGCTGGTGTGTGTGCTCCATTTCCACCCTTCCCCGTGAAGAACCAGTGCTCAAAAATACCCTGGCTTTCCAGTTCACTTCCTGGGAAGGCCCAGCCATGGGTGCTTAACCTATAAAACCGGATTTGCTCTAACCCGCTCCTCCCCTGCTGCAGCTGGGGGTGCTGTTCCTCGGGGCTGCTTAAACGCGGTGTGGCTCGCAATGTAAATCGTGCCCCCTTGTTTTCTGCCCTGGGAGGAGGAAAACAACCAAACCCCATTTCCTCTGCGAGCCCCACAACCTGCAGAACGCGTTAACGCTCCTTTGAGCAGTTGCTGAGCCTTCAGCCGAGCGGGGCTGCTCCTCCATCCGCTGCCCTCTTTGTCTCGGTTGGAGCCTGGCAATGGGGGCCGAGAAGCCCGGAGCGGCTCTCGCTCTGCTTTGCACCCTCAGCGAGCAACCCCAGACACCGGTGTGGGGCCAGGGGCTCCCTTAATGCGCGCCTTCCCCGCCCCATTGCTCATGCATATTCGGGCCGCGCCGCCCCGCACGGCTCTCGCCGGGTAGCACGGGGCGCCATGGCCGGCGCGCTGCGGGTGCTGGTGGACATGGACGGCGTCGTGGCCGACTTCGAGGGCGCGGTGCTGCGAGGCTTCAGCGCCCGCTTCCCCGCGGAGCCACGCGTGGAGCTGGCGGCGAGGAGCGGCTTCTCGGTGCGGGAGCAGTACCGCGGCCTGCGCCCGGAGCTGGCGGTGAGCGGCGGGCGGGGGGAGCAGCGCCTCTTCCCTTGTATCCTGCTGAGAGCAGGGGGAATCTCTTCCTACCCGCTGTGGGTATGCAAAGCAGGGGGGGGGGGCTGTCACAGTGCTACAAAGGGTTGTTTCTGCCTTCATTTGCATGGAAATAATTAGCGAGTTCTTCCAGGAGGATTTCCTGCCCTTCACAGGGATGTGTGTGTGGGAATCGGTTGGCAAAGCCCGATTCTCTCTTCGAAGTAACTGCATGAAGCTGTTTGCTGAGGCATCGGCTTGTTCTGTACCTACTCGTGAACCCCTCGGTGGTATGCAGTAATAACTTAATAATATTAGTATTATTAAAAAGTAATATTAACATTATTGAGATAATAATAAGGTGAGTAATAACTGAAAGCTGAGCGCTCTGTAAGTACTAATGCACCTCTAGCAGGATGAGAAACAGGAATACTCTCTATGTGTTTGCATAGTTAATGAAACCCCACACCTAGATCATGCCCTCTGACAAGCAAAGTGTGTGGTATTTAAACCATGGAGAGCCATGTAAAATGCTGGTGGTACCCCCCCATCCCTGCAAATGGTTTCTGTTTTGAGTGTTTGCTAATGAGTGAGTGAACATCAGAGACATTTGCAAGGCAAAGTTAGTGTGAATGCAGACTTCAGGCTTCCTACTGGGTACCTCAGGACACTCGGGGACTGTAAGAAGATGGAACGGATGCGGATCCAGGCTGCGGATCCAGGCTGTGCTTTCATTGCTCATTTTAAGATGCTGTCCTGGGCCTTTAGAGGTTTTTTTACTGCTGAAAAATGACAACTCACAATCAATTCCTTCCCGTTCCATGGCAAGGTTCAGGCCCCTGCACCTACAGGAGTGCTGGCTCCAAAGTGACCGAGCTCTAATGGATGACTATTGATGCTCAAAACTTCCTGACCCTGGAATTTGTATAGATGGGGAATGGGCATGAATTGTTTATCATTTATAGAACCAAACATGATTTATTGCTTACGTAAGGATTCCTTAAGTGAATCCCATTACAGGGACCCAAAAAAGAGGCAGGTAATTTAAGGGATCGTGGCTTTTTATTTGCTCTTGTTTGGAAGGGCTACAATCTGATCTGTCCTGAAAGGCACATCCTGTTCTATTTCTGGCATTCCCATTCCCTAATTTGGTTCATGCTCATCCTGTTCCTTCCCAGACCTTTAGGTGTGTCAATGAAATAACCACGTAGCTGGTTTGAATCCCATGCAGATCAGCAGTGGCACAAAGCTCTTACCTGCCTTCCTAAGGAAATGAGGTGTATGTGGTGGTGTCCGGCTCCTTCAGTCACCTCCGCATCTCTGGGCTGGTTTAGGTGCATTTGGCACAACTATACAGTTTTAAAGCTCCTTTATGTGAATCCTGTGGCTGTAAATAGAGACCTCAGTTCTGCCAGGCTGGTGCAGGAGCATCCCTGCAGAGCATCGCTCTGTTAGGAGGAAACCTACAGCAACGATGGCATGAGAAAGAGTTGTCGCATTTTTGGGTGGGTAAAACGGTTTTTTGGTTCTAAAATTCATCAGTTCCAGTTTTGTTCTCCAGCAAAGCCAGACTTGCTGGTGACACGCTGGAAACTGGCCCGTTTCTGGTGCCTTGTGTTGTGTAAAAGAGCTTTCAGATACAAGCCCTGGTCCTGTAATTGAGTCTCCTCGGGAAGAGCTCCAGGGAATTGTTGCTGAAATCAATGAGGCCCTGCCTGGAAGCAGGGATCGGAGCAGGTCTGATCCCCACGTCTTCACCTTCGCTCTTCTGCTCTGCATGAGGAATCAGGCAGCGCTTTCACGTGTCTGCCTGTTGAGTTATGAGTAGTGGTAAATTATGATAGCTGAGGGAGCACCCTGGTCCAGGAGACTTGTTTAATGCTGACTCCTCATTGCTGCTTAATTGAAATGGGCTTTATGTCTACGCTCCACTGGTGAAATAGAGCAAGGAGCCCATCAGCTGGACTATAAAGCAGCCTGGTACAGTTCCTAAGCGAAGCTGCCAGGTTGAAGAATACTCACAGAGAACTAAGATTTCCAAACTGGGGGAATGTCTGACTTGAAGCTAATGGAAAATGCTGCCTTGACACCGCTGGAGCTCACCGTGACCCCAGGGAAGGCGAGATTCACATGTTTTAGGGTTCTCTGTTTGAGAATGAAGCTTAGGTCTGGATTCAGCCCTTTTCACGCTGCTGGGATGTGGCTGCTGCCCACTCAGCCCTGCCAGATTCCTGAGCCACCAGCACATTCCAGTCAGATGGGACAGAGGAGCAGGAACCTTGAACTGGTTCCTTTGATGCCTCACAAGAGGCAGTAGAGACCTGCTGGGAAGGGGTGAGCCGTGAGCTCCCCTGTACCAGGCATCAGCCAGCCGAGCTGTAGGTCAGAGCTGGGTCTGTGGTGCTGTGCAAGGTCGGGACCAGCTCTGCCTCCTCACTCCAGACAAGCCACCAGAGAGGAACTTCTCCTTCTTGTGTGCCTGAGCCGGAACCTGGAAGGTGAGAAACGCTATAATGGCCTCTTGTTGTGCAGCATTACTGCCCTTTGATGGCTGTTACACCCGGGGTAAGGGGACAACTGTGATGCTCAGAGCTCGGACACAGGCACGGGTGGGCTTTGCTGACTGTCCTCCTGTCTCTTGCAGGCTAAGGTAGCCAGTGTCTATGAATCACCTGGCTTCTTTCTAGGGTTGGATCCCATTCCAGGAGCCCTGGAAGCTCTGCAGGAGATGATCCGCATGCAGGAGTAAGGATGCTTTGCACTCCGTAGCCCTTTTCCATTATCTTATGCACCTTCCCCTGCCTGCTAAGGAATGTATAATGTATAATAAATAATGCTGTTTCTTTTCAGCACTGAAGTCTTTATTTGCACAAGTCCTCTCCGGAATTACGAGCACTGCGTCCTGGAAAAGGTGGGAGAGAACTTGGTTTAGTGGGGTTTATTTTGCTGCTTTTGCAAGGCATCGCCCAAGTCAGAATAATTCATTTACAAAGGCAGTGGCTGGCTCAAGCTCCCAGGCTTCCCTGGATCTCTCTGTCTGAGGGGCAGCTTCCCAGCCCCAGGACGGTAGCACAGGAATCTCGGAGTGCCACATGGTGCCAGTGTCCTTACTGTGGGGCACGTGCGCCCTGTGCTCGCAGAGCTGGCATGATGTGAGCCTGCTGCTCCAGCTGTGCTGGCAGGTGATAGCGGAGGAACCGTTGTAGAATGGCCCCTAGGGGTGGGATATTCCCAGGGGATTCCACACTGGAGAATCCTCTACCCAGCCTCAATCCTTATTCTGTCTAAATGCAGAGCCTGAGACACCCCATGTCCTGAAGGAGGCCAGTGCTGAGTTAAGAGGAGGCTTCAGCATTGGAATTGGTCCTGTTTGCCACTGCATTAGAACAGAGAGGGGGACCTTAATCACTGGAATGACTTGGATGGGCACAGCCCACGTGCTCTGGTGAGCAGCCAGTGCTGCTTGCAAACTCGATAGTGATTAGGTATGGGAAGGCCAGTGCTGCTGATAGAAAACAGGTTGAATCAGTGTCCTGGGCCATGGCCAGTCTCTGCGGTGAGGATTCACGGACACAGATGTCGGTCTGCAGGGGAGAAGCTGCTCTGCTGGGGCTGATGTGACTGGAGCTGAAGCACAGCAGCGTCTTCTCTCATTTCTTACCTCTGCAGTATAAGTGGGTAGAGAAACACCTGGGACCCGAGTTTGTGGAGCGGATTATTCTAACCCGCGATAAGACCGTCGTGTCTGCGGACTTGCTGTTTGACGACAAGGACACCATTACAGGTTAGGAAAGCGCTTCCATTGCTGTTAGCCAGGAAGGAAACCCCTGCCTGAGCCCAGCTCTCCTCCGTTGCCCACAGGCGCAGAGCCGAACCCGAGCTGGGAGCACATCCTCTTTACCTGCTGCCACAACAGGCACATCCAGCTGCAGGCCCCGCGCAGGCGGCTGCTGTCCTGGGCGGATGACTGGAAGGGCATCTTGGAAAGCAAGCGCAGGCAGTAGTGCGCAGAAGGGGTGCTCTTCCCACTGCCAGGAACGCATCCATGGGCAGGGAATCCCATTCCCAGGAGGCAGTGAGTGCCCTCATCCAGGCAGAGGCACTCGGGGAGCAGTTGTAACAAGAGCTGCCTTTGTTAGACACGCTGCAGAGCTGCTGCTGCTGCTGCTCCACGTGTCTGGAAGATCGCTCTGCAGTTATGTCTGTAGGGTTTGGGGTGTTTGCTGCTGGTGAAACGATAAAATACAAGCAGCTGTGGGTTGTATTTGTGTGTGCGTGTTCTTAACCTCAGTCCTGTTTGGTTTGGGCCCATTGGGGGTGGAATGGAACTAAAAAGAGGAAGCTCTGAAACTTGAGCAGACACAGCAAGGATGCCCATCAGTGAACACTGCAACAGCCAGAGCCTGCTGATGTTATGGATTTAGCCACCCTGGCTTTCGGGTTACCTTTTGCAGCGCTGGCTGATGAAGAAAGGACACGAAGCTGGCTTCCATTTCTGGCCCATGTGCGTGAGTAAGAGTGGGCGAAGGCTGGGCTGCAAGTGCTGGAGAGAAGTATTTATGAGCTTATACCACACTGTTTACACAGCGTTGAAGTTAATGTTTTATTAGGAGAAGGTTTTACAGGACAGCTGCTCTCATGAGCCAGGCTGCCATGGGCCCTCCTTTTAATCTTCTCCTTTCTCACCAGTGCTAATGAAAGAAAATCAGCTTTTCACTTCCCCATTTACAGGATACACACTGTCCCGTGTAGTGATTTACCAGTCTGTGCCACGATGACATATGGCACAGTTACTACCAAAGGCAGGCATACAGATTGCAAACTGCCAGGGCAGGGAAACACCTTTCTTCTGCAGGAGGAACAATGTTTATGAGACATTTAAAGTCCTTTGAGTTGACACTGGAGAGCTGCAGCCCCACCAGGCAGGAACTGGGATATAAGGCACCCAGTAACCCAAGCAGAACCCCCCCCCGTCATTGCTGGGAAGGGTTCTTTGTGCAGGCTGGGTGCTGGGCTGCACGTGGCACCCTGCTCTCCAACGGCCATGACCTGTGCTATTATAAGTATCTGCTTTCCGTTTTAGCTGTGTGCTTGGCCTCCCTGTCGGGGCAGTACTATCCATCCTCTTTAGTAACTAAATCCAGTGCTACTGCGACCAGTTTCACTCTTTGATGTTCTTGACACAATTCTGCTGAGCAGAAAGCGTCTCCCTCTTTTTTCCCCAAGAAAGAGGTGGAATCACCCTCAAAAAACCATGCAGACGAAGCCCTCAGTGCCATGGGTTAGTGGTGGCCTGGGCAGTGCTGGGGAATGGGTGGACTGGCTGAGCTGAAAGGTCTCTTCCAGCCTGGCTGATGCTATGATCTGCACTGTCCTGCCTACACAGGATCAGTCCTTGGGGAGAGGAATGCCCACGGCAGTGTGTTTGCTCAGGCTCCGGGCCTCCTCCACCTGCAGAGGGGTGCAGTAATCCTGCAGGAACACGGTGGCCAGGTTGCTCAGCCTTCTGCTGGCCGAGAGGGAGAAGCGGAGCATGCACTCCACCACGGGCAGCGCCGTGGTCTGCTGCCGCGACTGCGGTGTCGTCAGGTACATGAGCGTCGTGACCGCCGACATGACGGTCTCCTCGTTGGCACTGGAGAGGCAGTTGATGATGGGCTCTACCCCGTTCGCCTCCAGGATGTAGTCTTTGTTCGTTTTATCCAGGCACAGGTTGCACAGACCCCCTGCAACACCAAGAGAAAGCATCTGACACGTGCAAGACAAGCGCTTCACCCCTTCATGCTGTGATGCAGGTTCATTGATGAGCCTGGTTTCTAACACAGGAATAAGAATCCAGATTCTCTGTGAGGTTTGGATGGCTCCTGGGCAACGTTTTCCACACGTTTTCCAGCAGAACGTTCCTTCTCCTTTATGTCATTAGAGGGCACTGTTACTGCTGGGCATAACCTCTACCGCAGAACTCCAGGATTACTTAACCCTAACAGAGGCTAAAGCCTGGAGTTCACTGCAGGTGTTACAGGAAAACAGAATGGAGGCAACAGCACAAGGCAAGAGGTGCAGAATGCTCGAACGTGGCTCTTTAAGAGGCAGCCATGTCCCGGTGTAGCTCAGCCACAAACCTTAAACATCAGATATATTTACTGTCAGCTCATGGCAGCACTCACAATCGGGATCTGGCCCTTTAGTTTCTGTTTGGACCACACTGAGTCAGTGTAAGGCAGTTGCTTAGAGGACTTATTACAAGATTTCAGGTAAGTGCTGGAATTTGGTTGTCACCAATTTCACTAAAATGTCATTAAAATTCACTAAAATTTCACTAAATTTCACTAAAATTCACTAAAATTTCACTAAATTTCACTAAAATTCACTAAAATTTCACTAAAATTTCACTAAAATTGAGAGCAGTTTCAGTAGAAACTCACTCACCCGGTGTTCAGTTCGAGTTTGGGGCTAACGAACCCATCCTGCCGCACAGCAGCCCTACGAGGATGAAGGGGCGATGCTTCCATCCCCGCTCTCCCCCATTCCGCTCATCCCCACCAAACCCGGCAGTACCCGAGGGGCCGTTCACGCCTCACGCTCCTCTCTGCCCCTCGGGAGGGACAGGAGCCCCAGTCCGCAGCATCACCCCCGCTGTGCCCTGCCCCGTCAGCCGCTCTCGGGGATGCTGCTGGCCCCGTCCCTCACCCATGGCGAACTCCACGAGGGTGTCGCTGCTCTCGCCGAGCATGTCGAGGAACAGGTCCAGGACCTGGAGCCGCCGCAGGTGCTCGTAGTTGCGAGGGTCGTAGGCGAAGTTGGCCAGGTTGGCCAGCACCTGCTCCTTGGCCTCTGCAACACGGAAACGGCGCTGAGCGCGGGGCGGCTCCGCACGGGGCTGCGGGGCGGCCGCGGCCGCGGTACCTGCGCTCTCCGTCGCCTGGAACTCGGTGACCAGGGCCTGCAGGTACTCCAGCCGGCCCAGCTCCATCCCGCGCCGGGTCCCGGCAGCTCACGGTGCCCGGGAGAGCCTTCCCCTGAGCGCCGGGAGGGCCGTGCTCAGGGCCGGGCAACGGCGTGGAGCCGAGCCGCCGGCGGAGGGGCCTCCTCAGCACCGAGCCAGGCCCGGCGCGGCCGCCGCCATCTTCGGGGCGTGGAGAGGAGGCTCCTCCTCCTGCGTTCCTTTCCCTTCTCTTTCCCTTCTTTTTCCCTTCCTTTTCCCTTTTTTTTCCCTTCTTTTCCTTTTTTTTCTTTTTTTTTTTCTTTTTTCCTTCTTTTTTTCCTTCTCTTTCTCTTCTCTTTCTCTTCTCTTCCTTTCTCTTCCTTTCTCTCCTCTTTCTCTTCCTTTCTCTCCTCTTTCTCTTCTTCTCTTCTCTTCTCTTCTCTTCTCTTCTCTTCTCTTCTCTTCTCTTCTCTTCTCTTCCTCTTCCTCTTCCTCTTCCTCTTCCTCTTCCTCTTCTCTTTTTTCTTTTCTCTTCCTTTCTCTTTTCTCTTCCTTTCTCTTTCTCTTCCTTTCTCTTTCTCTTCCTTTCTCTTCCCTTCTCTCCCCCTTCTCTTTCTTTCCCTTCTCTTTCCTTTCTTCCCCTCTATTCATTTTTTCCCCTTTCCCCATTTTTTCTCTGTATTTCTTTTTCCCTCTTTCTCCTTTCCCCCCTTTTTCTCCTTTTTTCTTCCATTTTCCCATTTCTCCTCTTTTCCGTTTCCTTTTTTCCCCTTTCCCTTTTTCCCTCTTCTTCTTTCCCCCCTATATTTCTTTTTCCCTCTTTTCCAACTTTTTTTCCTTTTTTCCCTTTCCCCCCATTCCTTCCCCCCTTTCCCTCCTCTCTTTCCCCATGGACCCTGTAACCTGTTCACCACCACAATAAACGAGCGTGCCCGAGGTTCTTGTATCTCGGTGTACGGCCAAGCCCTGCTGTTTAAACACCCTGCTCCGGTAAGCAGCTTAACCTTGCCTCCCTCACTGTTCCCTATCCGCTAAACTTCCCTGTGCGCCATAGGATACACTAAAGGGAAAGAAATCCGGAGGCAAGGAATGAATGAAGGCAGCAGCGGGTAACGCCATCCTGGTTGTGCGATGCCCTGGTCTAGGCACGGAGCAGAGCGGTTCCATGAGCCTGAGCCAGCCCAGCGCCAGTGACACCGCGAGTGGATTTGTGTGGTTCATGTGCTATAAATAGGTAAGGTAAAGGTACCCAAACTCAGCAGAAATCAGTGCTGCTTTTATTGGAGCAGTTAAACACATGGAGGTTCTTGGGCAGATAAGGAGGGAACAGGTTGTCTTTTGTGTTATCTCATAGGAAGCAAATTGAAGCTGGCAGAATACACTGATTACGTGGCGCCGGTGGCAAGTGTGTTGGGCTGCTAATCCCCTGTTATACAGCTGGGTGCAGTCACCCATGCCCATGTGCAATAGAAGGATGAGCAGAGGACCTACGGTGAGTGCAGGGTTGCTAAAGCTTGTAACACTGCAGTGCTGTGGGAAGGCAGAGAATGGGAAAGGGAAGGTGTTTGTTTATAACTGGTATAAAGATTTAAGCCAGGCCTGTGCAAGCAACTTCAACTCTCTCAAGTTGGTGTGTGTGTATATATATATATGTGTGTGTATATATATATATGCATATAGAATCATAGAATGGTTTGGGTTGGAAAGGACCTTAAGATCATCCAGTTCCAACCCCCTGCCATGGGCAGGGACACCTCACACTAAACCAGGGCACCCAAGGCTCTGTCCAGCCTGGCCTTGAACACTGCCAGGGATGGAGCATCCACAACCTGCCTGGGCAACCCATTCCAGTGCCTCACCACCCTCACAGTAAAGAACTTCTTCCTTAGATCCAATCTAAACTTCCCCTGTTTAAGTTTGAACCCATTCCCCCTTGTCCTTTCACTACAGTCCCTAATAAAGAGTCCCTCCCCAGCATCCTTATAGGCCCATGTGTATATTTATCTGTATGTGTATATATATATATGTATGGGTATATATAGGTATGTCTATATATGTGTGTATATATGTGTGTGTATATCTATCTGTGTGTGTATATCTGTGTGTGTATATACATGTATGTGTATATATAGGTATGTCTATATATGTGTGTATATATATGTGTGTGTATATCTATCTGTATGTGTGCATATATATAGGTATGTGTATATATAGGTATGTCTATACATGTGTTTGTATGTGTGTATATGCGTATATACATGAAAGCAGCCACAAAGGTGCTCCAGACAGCTCCTATATCAGAATGCTTTGCTAGTGTATTAACAACCCCTTAATGTATGCCTGTGTAAGTGGCAGGTGTTGACACACTTTAGAGCCACATCCGTCATTACACGGAAAGCGAATGACTAATGGGAGAAAGCAGGGGAAGAGAAAGCAAACACAGCACAAAGAGAGGCGATTAAGGATGCTGTGCTTGACTAATAAGGGGTGAAACCCTGTGTTTAAAGAAGGAAAATGCAATGACTCGTGTCTGTCAGGATTATTTTGCATGCACAGGAGGAACTTTGTCCCCTGGCATGGTTTCACAGGCAGTGGTGCTTAGGAAAGGCTGGTGTCTGTCTGTTCCAGGTGACACATCTCCAGGTCACACTATTCGGTGCATGGCAAGAGGTAACCAGGAGAGAGGAACATCCTGGGGACTGCGAGCTGAGCTCCTTCCAGCCTTTGTCTGGCATTGGGGTTCACCAAGGCTGGCTGGGAGATGGGAGGGATGCTTTATGTTTCCTTTGCTGTGTCGCAGCTGCCTCCGGGAGGAGAGGTTGACAGCAGAGGCTCTGCAGAGCCAACAGCTCACGCTAGTCCTCACCACCCAACCTGCTCTGCTGCTGGCACTGTGCTGCTTGTCTTTGTGCTGACTTACTATGGGGAGTCTGGCCAGATCATCCAGACAGGTCACTTGGCAGTAGCAGGAGTTGGCCGTTCACTCACCCAATACTGTCCCATATGTCTAATGGACATGGAACTGCTGGAACAAGTCCAGAGGAGGCCACGAGGATGATCAGGGACTGGAGCACCTCCTGTATGGAGACAGGCTGAGAAAGTTGGGGCTGTTCAGCCTGGAGAAGGAGCGTGGAGACCTCATAGCAGCCTTCCAGTGTCTGAAGGGGGCCTATAGGGATGCTGGGGAGGGACTCTTCATTAGGGACTGCAGTGACAGGGCAAGGGGTAATGGGTTCAAACTTAAAGGGGAAGTTTAGATTGGATATAAGGAGGAAATTCTTTCCTGTTAGGGTGGTGAGGCACTGGAATGGGTTGCCCAGGGAGGTTGTGAATGCTCCATCCCTGGCAGTGTTCAAGGCCAGGTTGGACAGAGCCTTGGGTGCCCTGGTTTAGTGTGAGGTGTCCCTGCCCATGGCAGGGGGTTGGAACTTGATGATCTTAAGGTCCTTTCCAACCCAACCCAAACCATTCTATGATTCTCTTCTATGTTTAATCCTCTGAGTGCTCCAAGCACTTGCTATTTGCCAGAAGAGTTAGTGCAGAATGACTGCTATAGCTCCAGGGGCTGATCTACAGTGACATTGCAAGGTAGGATTCAATAGAAGCACTACTGCTCCTAGTAGTTATGTTTCCCTTCTTGCAGCCACTAACCAGGTCTGCAGGCAGGATGCCAAGCTCTTCATTTCGGGGCTTTTGCCCTTCTGAGGTGTTTCAGAGCGTGTAAGTTCACCGTGACCTTCCTTTGGGTTTGTATTAAACTTTTCCGAGCCCTACTTTGGCTCTGAAGGACCATGATCCTGCACCAGTTCGGTGTGAGCTTCCTGGTGAATGTTTCATTGCAGTAAGGAAAGGTGCTCGGTGCAGAAATGCTTACCTTGCAAGGTTAATGATACCTTAAATGATAAAGGGAGCAAGAGGGGACGTGGGGAGCTTGGGACATTTAATTCTGGCCAAGTTGTGTTGTTCTCAGAGGTTTATAACCTGGTTGAGGTATAAGTGCTTGTCCATTCTTAGAGCCGGGGTTATTTTGCTGTCTATAGGTGTTAAACAAACCCTGCTTCAGGGGGCTTTGGCTTTGCATAATGGGACAACCTTAAACTAACGAAAGGAGCTTTTATTGCTTTCTTTTCCTTTTGGGCCTCGAGATTCTGAAGGACTGAGCATTATTGCTCCTGTGTGATAGCTCTGAGGGGTGTTGTTATTCTAGTGTGCATGTTTGTTATGCACGGCCCCTTCAGTTATGCTTCACAAGCTCCTGCTCAAGGCAGCTTGGAGTTGAGGTTGAAAAGGGAGCTAGGAGAGGTGGGCAGATGGAGGAGGGGGGTAATTTCCTCTATCGTGGGAGCTCAGACATCTGATTTGCCTGTGGAAACACAGCCTCAAGTGTTCCCTCTTCCCTCTGCAAGCTTTATTCCCAACCTGTGGGTTGTGGATGACTTCTAAAGGGTCTGTGGGATGGAACCAGCCCTCTTTGGAGGCAGCTCACGTTCTGTAAGGCCGGTAGAAAGTTTACAGTAAACGAGTTGAGGACATTACAGTAGTGGATTTCCTTTGGTTTGCTTCCCAGAAACATCCCTGCTTTACCTGCAGCTAAACCCCAGTGACCCCGGTATTGAGTCTGGGAGCATTGGATCTACAAAGCACTCTCCTAACTTCCCATCCTAAATTATCCTCCAGTGCTGCGCACAGCTAGGAAACAATGAGAGCACATCTCTGGGCCGTGCTGCAGGAGGAGCTGGTCTCCGTGTGCCAGCTTCAGCGGGTGAGTACTTCTTTTCCTTCCTTATATCTCACAAGCATGCATTAGACAACACATTACCTTGCTTGTGAACCAGCTCTAGGACTAAAGCATTGCAGATGGAGTGGTTGGCTCCACAAAGATGTGTTCCGTTGCGCCTCCAACTAACCTTTGTTTTGCTGGGATAAACTGATGGGTTGGGGCTTACACCATCTTTTACCTGTTTTGCCCATGGTATCTGTAGGACATAGGAGATGTGGGACAATATAACCCCATATTTCTGGAAGAAAACGGGGTGTAGAAAGGTGAACAGAACTTAAAACGTAAGAATTACACACAGGAGAGCAGCAATCTGTTCAGCAGCGTGGCTCTTTTATTTGCAATAGCCAGGAAAGGTTTGGGACTTCACCCTTGTCATTGCTCTTTTGGGGAGGAAGGAAGAAAGCCCTGTCTTTATCCTAGGAATGTACAGCAGGTATTGTTTCCGTAAGCTGAGAAGCACCAGTCGCTCTTTGCTTTGCACTTACGGACCATGTAAGCATTACACAAGTTAATAAACACATGTGACAAGAGATTAGATGTGTATGGTCTCCCACTGGTTGTTTTATGTAAGTATATGTTTGATCAGGAAGTGCAAAGCCTGCTGGTTCAGTAATCCCAGAGCGGCACTGAAGAGGATGCTGAGCGGTGGGAGCAGTGACCCCTCTGAAGGGCTGATACCTCTTCCATCTCACCCCTGTGTTACACTTCTGTCTCTCTGCTGGTTCTGATGTGTTGAGCAGTCTTCATCCGCAGTGCTTTGTGAGCTGTATGAGCAGTGTGTGCACAGGCAGCCAAGAAGCCCCCTGGCCTGTACCAGCAGCAGTGTGGCAGCAGGAGCAGGGCAGGGATTGTGCCCCTGCACTGGGCACTGGTGAAGCTGCACCTCCAATCCTGTGTTCAGCTCTGGGCCCCTCACTGCAAGAGAGACATTGAGGTGCTGGAGCGGGGCCAGAGAAGGGAATGGAGCTGGTGCAGGGCCTGGAGCACAAGTGTGATGGGGAAGGGCTGAGGGACCTGGGGGGTTCAGTGTGGAGAAGAGAAGGCTCAGGAGGGACCTGATGGCTCCCTACAAGTGCCTGACAGGAGGATGGAGCCAGGAGGGGCTGGGCTCTGCTCCCAAGGAACAAGGGATGGGACAAGAGGAAATGGCCTCAAGTTGCTCCAGGGGAGGTTTAGGTTGGAAAGGGTTGTTAAGCATTGGAACAGGCTGCCAGGGCAGCGATGGAGCCACCATCCCTGGAGGGATTTGAAAGCTGTGGCACTGAGAGATGTGGTTTAGTGGTGGACTGGGCAGCGCTGGGTTAACAGTTGGACTCAAATGATCTTAAAGGTCTTTTCCAACCTAATCAATTTTGTGATTGTATTATCTGTTCCTGTCAGATAAGGAATGATAGAGAATATAAACATTGTGCAACCCAAGCTGGTGCTGAGGGAGGTTAGAGGCTGATGCAGCTCTCGGTTATAATTCCCAGCAGTGCAGCAAGAAGAGCTATTACAGTCAATGCTGTATGGGTATGGAAGTCAGTGACATTGACTTTTCCCAATATACTTTTACCAACAGATTCCTTTGTAAGTTATGCTTGTGCTTACAAGAAATGTAGTTACGCTTGTGCAAGCACTCTGTAATATAGAGAATGCTGGTGTCATGAGTCTAAGCTAAATTCATTTACACAAAGGCTTTGTGCACTACAAATTCACTTACTGCAGTGGCTTTGAATCTGTCCCTCTCTAAGGATGCATACACTTGTTCTAGTGACACCTTTGCTACCACTCCCCCCCTGCAATGGGTCCCAGTTCACCCTGAAAAGAAGTGTATACACACCAGCCCCAAATCCTGTTTCTGGTATATCAAGAAGCACTCGAGATGTCACTGGTTACACAGAGCAGGCGCTCTAAGGTTGGTTGGGTTGTTTCTTTTGGATGCTCTGGAGCTGAACCTTGAAGGCTTTGGAAACATCCTTGGCATGAAGCCCTTGTGTATGCGCCTTGTAGGAGAAAATATTTGCCCTTACTAGAGGCTTGGCTGAGTTCTGCAGCAGCTTCCATGTAATATTTAGAGATGTGGAAAACAGCAACAGCCTTCCTGGGGAAGCTGCCACCCACAACATGGGAAGCAACCAGGAAACTCTATATTCTGCACCACATCATGTGTTCGGATGAGGCAATAATACTTCTTTGTGGAAGAATGACCGTTGTGCATAGCCATCAATGCGTATTATCCAGTGTTACCCACTGGAATGTGCATGTGAGATTCCAGTGACTTAAAGGCACTGACTTACACCAATTGAACTGACACGGCTTTTGTATCTCGGCGCTGGTTACCATGGCTGTTATCCCAGGGTTTGCTTTGGGGAAGCACAGTTCTCTTTGTCCTTCATCTCTTTGGCTGGCGCTGGGTTCTGGGCTCAGCCCGTGGTCCAGAGCACTCACTTGGAGTCTGACACGGCCCCATAGAGAAGGGGGATGGCAGTTGTGGAAAGCAGCCACTTGTTTTCTCATCTGCCATCAGCGCTGGGCCGTGTGGAGCTTTGTACAGGCCACATAATCCTTTGTGTTCCTCTTTATTTGTCCTCTTGCTTTTCATATGCTTGTGATGTACACGACTGCTGGAGGGGGCTGACTCTCAGGCTGTGATTCAGTTGGCATTTCACTGTACTGATACCTGGAAGGATTATCCCCCGGGGCTTTGGAGGCCTCTTTCAATTTGGCTTTCTTCTCCAGAGCACAGAAGGTGAGTGCCATGAACAACGCAGCCGAGATGAGGAAGAAGCTGGAGTTGTAGAAGACGTAGTGGAAGTCATTAGTTACATCTACCAGGAGACCTGAAATGGAAGCCACAGCTTAGTCAAAGAGAAGATGGACACCAAAGGCAACAGGGTGACGTTAGCACAGATGTTAAACCTGAATCAGTCAGCAAACTGCCATATATGAAAGATGAGCATTCACAGATGAGTTGAATTCTCTCCTCTAGCTCGCAGGGGTTGGCTGTGTTTTATAGTCACGACTCAAGTGATGGTTCTGCTTTCGTACCAGGTATATCATAACACACAGGGGAGCCAAGGGAAGAAAGGAAACTGAGTTTTCCCCAGTGTGCTGATTCATTTTGTTCACTCAGCAGAAGACCCTGTGCCAAGCACTGGATTTTGGACCGAGGGACCCTGTTATATACCAGGTCAGAAAACAGAACAAGTAAATAGAGAAACCTCTCCTGGATGGACGGGTTAGAGCCTCTATTAGTGTGTAACCAGGGAGAAGAACATTCACAGCACAGCAAGGATTATGCCTAACATTAAGTGCCTTCAGTATAAAACATTTAATGTGAGACATACCAAATGAGTAACTTTACACTAATGTTGGAGACGGAAAGGTGATACCCAGGTCAAGCAGATGATGCTTTCTGTAGGCTACTTATTTAAATGGAAGTACTGGAATGTATTACAACAACTGCTGTTTGCTTGCTTGTATTCTTCAGTAAAGATTGGTGATGTTTCTTTTCCTGGTGCACTTTTCCTTAGCAGATTTTCAGGCTACAAATGGAACTGGTGCTGCTGTTACTGGCCTTTGTTTTGCCCATCTGCCGTTCCTTTGAGAGATGTCAAGGAAAGATCTTTTTGGCCCCCTCAGAAAAGTGGCTGACCCACTAACACCAGGGAATACCATGCAGTATGGTGCATGGTATCATCTGTCCTTAGAACAGACAGTACTTTCCTACTGGGTGGCACACAGCTCATTGTCTGGAGAACACAACTAAAGCCTGCTTCATGCTCAGGCTTATGTTTCTTGTTTGTTAGCCTTTTGGATTCGCTGCTGTGCTGCAGGAACAGGTACGTGCAGGAGTGAACTGTGACATCTGTGAATCATTGATTGGCTTTGGGTTCATATCTAGCTCCTTTCTTGTCCCCAGAGTAAAATTAATACCCTCTAGAGCTTGGAAAGCAGAGTGAACGGAAGCTGTTGCTGTGCGGCTCTTGAGTTGTGTAGGGCTGGTGTGAATTGTGATAGGAGTTTGTTTGTTTAATGTGATATGCACAAGTCCTTGAGACTTCACAGATGAAACAGTGCGAACTGGCAAAGCAGTGAAAGAGTTCAGAGACAGCAGGATCCTACCACAGTAACTCCTCTCTGTGTATTGCTGCTCACTGGAACAAAGCTCTTATCAATCACACCCGTGCCTATCAAACTGCTGCAGTGACACTTGGGCAGCCGCAGAAAGGACCCTCCTTCAGCTCTGAGAAAGGGTTTGTCCTTCCTCTCCGATTCTCCCTTTTATACCACTCCCTTTGCGTAACTCACCTCCCTGCATGGGTTTGGAATCTCCCTTCTTTCTCTTCTTAAGCTCCCAAACACTTCCCACCGGTGTCTAAACAACCCAGCCTGTTTAACAGCCTCTCACCTGTGAGAGGGGGTCCGATGAGGAGCGTGATGCTCTCCAGGATGGTGAAGAGCCCCAGAGCGCTCGAGAACCGGTCCATCTCCACCACGTCCATCAGCACCTGGAAGGTGAGTGCCCCGATGCCGCTCATGGCTATGCTGAGGATGACGCAGTAGACGATGAGCACGCTGAACTCAGCCGAGACCACGCAGATGAAGTTGCTCAGCCCGCAGAGGAGCACGGCCAGGCTGAACAGGTAGATTCGTCTCCCTGAGAAGAGTCTGTGTCCCGAGAGCAGCCCCGTGAAGGGCCGTATGAAGATGTTGATGAACCCAATGACAGAGATGAGGAGGGCTGCCCTGCGCTCCTCCACCCCATTCTGGATGGCGTAAGGCACAAGGTAGATGTGGGGTAACGCAAACCCCATCATCATCCAGGTCACGCCAATAGTGTAAATCTGGTAACCTTTGTTTTGACAGAAGATGTCAAAAGCCAGGTACTTCTGCAGCACACGGAAGCATGCAGTCCTTCTGCTTTGCTTCTGGAGCTCGTGGTGGGGAGAAGATGCTCCATTGGACAGCTGTGTCTCTTCTGCTCTTCTCCTCAGCTCCTCTCCAGGCTGGGGCAACTGTAGTAGTGACCCTGAAGTGAGCTGAACTGGTCTCATGATGGCTCCGCAGACACAGCAGTTCAATAGTATTCCTCCAAAGATAAGGAAAGTGTTTCTCCAGCCCATCTCATCCAGCAGGTATTGAGAAAGCAGTGGCCACAGAGTGAAACCCAGAGAGACGCCAGTGGATGCCATGGCATTGGCCAGTGTTCGCCACCGTACAAAGTAATATCCCAGTGCAGTCACTCCTGCCTGGAAGCTGAAACACGACCCCAGGCCTAAAGGTAAGAATAAAAGAGCAAATGACAGCACATGATCCATCTGTGTTGCCTTAAAGAGCCTAAATCCAGGGTTTACACACAGGTGAGGGAGGCCAAGGGGAATGCCTTGAACCTGCCAGGAGACTGAGATGAGCTCTTAGGCAGAAGCTCTTCCCTGTGAGGGTGCTGAGGCGCTGGCACAGGGTGCCCAGAGAAGCTGTGGCTGCCCCATCCCTGGCAGTGTTCAAGGGCAGGTTGGACACAGGGGCTTGGAGCAAGCTGCTCTAGTGGAAGGTGTCCCTGCCCGTGGCAGGGGTTGGAGCTGGATGAGCTTTAAGGTCCCTTCCAACCCAAACCAGGCTGTGAGCCTCACGACCCGCTGTGATTCACACTCACAAACCCCACAGAAGTGATTTTTTGCATAAATTAAACTACCTGTGTTCTATACGAAGTAAACTGATCCAAGCTGACATTTGCCTGGGGCAGGCTGCTATTCCTAAAATTGTCATGGAATTGTTCCTTAGAAACTGTTTATACTGACTGCTTTCCTGACACTTCCATCAGGGCTCAGGGAGTTACCTGGTTTTTCTCTCTGTGCAATGGACACCATTTAGTTTGCAAGATCCAATGGGATTAGTCCCAGAGCAGCCTGGCTGAAGAAATGAATCTCTTTGTGTTAGAAAAACCCAAAGAGCTGATCAGTCACAGAGGAGAAATATTTGGAAAGGAGAAGCTCCCATCCGTTGCTTCTGTTCAAAACCAACATGTTCTTTTGTTAGGAAAAGATGTCTGCGCATTGCCCCCGATTGGGAGTGGTGAAATACAAGCCCAGGGAACTTGGGAGGGACGTTATCATAGGTCACATTATCCCAACATTACATTCCAAGGTTGAAAACCCCCTCCCTTCTTCACAGCCAAAAGGCTGAGGTGCTACTGAACAGACCAGGCATCCTTGCTCTCCGTTTTGCCCGCTGGAGACCTGAAGGTTTCTCCAGAGAGAAGCACTTTGCAGGGAGCTTGGCTGCATGAGGTGCGTGTGGAAGGGGTGTGAAGGGCAAGTCTGGCTGCTCCCGATTTATCCCATTTCCTGGATGAATGGGAAACACGAGTCGGGAATCACCATTCCCCTCTCTCAGGTCAAGCTCAGCAGCAGGGTTTGCGGTGGTACTTACCCGTGATGAAGCCAGCGGTGATGTAGAGCTGGCTGATGGACCTGCAGAAGGAGCTGGACACCATGCCCACGCCGCTGAGCAGGCCCCCCAGCATCACCGTGAACCTGCAGCCAAAGCGCTTCACCAGGAGGCTGCAGAGGGGCCCTGGCACCAAAGAGTAAAAGGGAAGCAGTTAGGGAGGAAGGGAACTCTCTGGACCTGCTGGATTGCTGCACTTATCCCGGTGGTTTGGTCTAGAGACCCTGAGGGTTGTCCCAGCAGTAGTAAGGGAGCCAGGGAGGGAATATGTATTTCCTGATCCTCCCAAGGGCTTGCTTGCTATGGGGAAGGCTCCTGTGATCTGCTTGGCTTTTGGCCATCAAGTGGGATTTTTAAGCTTCCCTGTGCTGAATTTCAGTTACAATGGTTGGAAATGGAAGAGAAGAAGGACTTTCAAATGTAATTCTGTTCTTGCATGATATAAAGTCAGGGAATGAATTGAGAAAGGGAAGGATTTGATTTCTGTGCCTCCGAGTAAGAGATGCTAAGCAGGATGATGTTTCTTTTTGTGCACTTGCACTCATTTCACTGTGTGTTTCAAACACCCTGCCACAAAATCTCCTACATTGCCTGTGCTGCGCTGCTACCTTGGTGAAACTCCTTGCAAGAGGAGACAGACTGACCCTGAATAAGAGCAAGAATGGGAGAAAACAGACATCACTGAGGAGGATCGTTTGAGTACAACTGGAGAGGTGTATTCATGCCCACATGGGAACTGATCTAAGCTCCAGGCAGTAGCATCCAGGCTGCAGCTTGTGGGGTCCTGCAGCTGCCCTGCAGGTCGTCTTCTCCAGGGAAATCCCATGTTATTGTCACACAGCTCTTTGCTCATTCCTGTCCTGGGATACCCGGCAGGGTGGGGAGGTTTCACTGCGTCCACTTCCAACAGGATAAGCCTAGGAGCAGACCATGCGCATCCCGCTTCCTGCTTCTACTCCAGCACAAGCAGTGCAGAGGTGGGAGTGAGACCTGGGTTGTTCTAGTGGACCAGAGCCCCCCTCTGCCCTTCTTGAGCCCAAACCTGTGTTCTGTTGTGCACCGACATTGCTGGCAGGCTTTATAGCAGAGAGCTGTGTTATTTCATCAGGAAAACAACAAACAGCCATGGGGAGGGGGTGTTTAAGGTCAGTTAATTCTTTACTTTTCATGGAGTTTTGGTGAATTCCCTGGGAGTGTGGTAAACTCCCAGGTTGTGAATGTCATTGAGCATCCTTTGTTTTAGGGTAGGAAAAAGTGAGCTCAGACCTGCAGCCCACTGCTGGGAAACAAGGCTCTGCCTGCACGAGAGGAGGATCTGGGTTTCTTTTTCCCGTTCCTTTGAGGATGTTCAGGTTTTCCCAGGGTTTGTTGGTTTTCCCCTCCTCTGAACACTTCAGGTTATATGAGCAAAGGCCAAATGACTCTGAGTTTCAGAATTAGGAGTCGGGCAGTGCAGGGAAAAGAACCCGTGGCATATTTGTGATCCAAAGCAACGTCTGGTTTGAAATAGAGCCCACATAATGGAGCGAGCAGGGGAACGTGATTAAAATGAGGAGAGCAGCTGCCTGTATCTTGATCTGCTTGGGAGATTTCCACCTCAGACTTTGAAGCAAATGGTGACTGCGTTATTTGCCTCCTGCTAAAGGCATCAAGGATGGTTCTGCAGTTTAAGCAGCCCCAGTAGCCAGAAGTCAAAAGGAGCATGACCAGCAGGTCATGGGAGGTGATCCTGCCCCTCTACTTTGCTCTCGTGAGACCTCACTTGCAGCACTGTGTGCAGTTCTGGTGTCCTCAACATAAAAGGACATGGAACTGTTGGAACAAGTCCAGAAGAGGGCCACGAGGATGATCAGGGGACTGGAGCACCTCCTGTATGGAGACAGGCTGAGGAAGTTGGGGCTGTTCAGCCTGGAGAAGAGAAGGCTGCGTGGAGACCTCATAGCAGCCTTCCAGTGTCTGAAGGGGGGCTATAGGGATGCTGGGGAGGGACTCTTCATTAGGGACTGTAGTGACAGGACAAGGGGTAACAGGTTAAAACTTAAACAGGGGAAGTTTAGGTTGGATATTAGGAAGAAGTTCTTTACTGTGAGGGTGGTGAGGCACTGGAATGGGTTGCCCAGGGAAGTTGTGACTGCTCCATTCCTGGCAGTGTTCAAGGCCAGATTGGACGAAGCCTTGGGTGCCCTGGTTTAGTGTGAGGTGTCCCTGCCCATGGCAGGGGGGTTGGAACTTGATGATCTTAAGCTCCTTTCCAACCCAAACCAGTCTGGGATTCTATGATTCTAAGTCATGGATTGAACGTTCCAAAGCAATGAGAATGGCTCTAAAAGCAGAAGGGATTTTCATTACTTATTCCTGTTAACTTGCTTCCCAGGTTTCAAACGTTCTTTCTCACTTGCCTGAGGCTTTTGTGCTTTCCTTTGCAAAAACATTAGCAACAGAAGCGCTGTGTTTGTGTGAGTTGAGAGTTGCATGTGTGTGAATATCGAGGAGCAGGAACCCGTGGGGCCTGAACTCCCCTTTTGGCGATGGCCACAGGATCCTGAGGTCTCTCAAATGATTCTTATAACAAAACAACCATTAATTGCCTTTACCTAATGAGATAGGTTTGGCTTCCTAACTGATGAGTTATAGTTTGCACTGGGTCCTTCCCTGCTCCCTTCCACAGCTCTCATAGAATAAAGGAGAAGAAAAGAGAGCCGCATCTTCAAGAGGCACCGTCGACACTGCAGAATGCGGTTTAGGATGATGGATGTAACTGGGGAACCTGAACCAAGCAGAGCCTGGCCCAGCACAAAGGAGCTAGAAGCTGCAGCAAAATTGAAGTCTTTTATGTCTGGTTTTTGTTGGTTTTCTCCTGGTTGTGCTACTCCTGCCTTACTCCTGGGGGACAAGAATGAGCACTTCCCTGCTGCAATAGGAGACATAACTGGCAAGCAAAGTAGTAACTCTTGTAACTCACTGGCTGTGCCCAGGCAAATTCTGTTCCTGGATGTCATTAGCATGAGGCTGTTCTTTCCTTGCCTAAGTTATAACTTTTAGATCTATTTCTTGGCTGTCTTTATAGCACCTTTTAGTGTGGTCCCAGCCTCCTACAGAACAATTACTTCATTAGAAAAGAGAGGTCAATAGATGTTTTATTGCATGTCCCATCACCTCCCACATCTTCTCTGGGGGAAAACACAGTGATTCCCTCCACTACGCACAAGGCACAACCCTCCTTCCACCCCCTTCACCCAGAGGCTGCCTCCTGACCTGTATCCTGCATCAATCCAGCTCACATCCACCCTGCCCGGGTGTGCACCCAATGCCACCGCCCAGGGAGCTGGTGTAATGCTCAGCCAGCAGCCTGGAGGAGCTTGGCTTGAGGCGTGTGTCAGCCACCAAGAGCACACTTGTCATGGGGAATATAAGAGATGTGTTCTCACGGTTGGGAGATGAACCAAGGAGGCACCCAAGCTTCAGTGCTACCTGCTGGCCTGTTCAAAGAGCTGCTATGGGAAACAACTAAGTTCTCGGTGGTGTGAAAAAGCTGGGAGAGAAAGGGATTCACCTCCTTTGACCAAAGGGCTTGGGTGTCTCTTAGAGTGGCAAAAGGGAGCCTGGTATCTGTGGAAACTGAGGTGACGGAGGGCATCCCCATCACTTACCGCCTCCGTGCAGCACGGCCACCATGATGGATGGGAACCACGATGTCTCACTGTTGCTGGCCTGGAAGTCTCGCTGCAGGTCCGTGAAGAAGATGCCAATGCAGGGGGGGAAGCCCAGCGTCATCCCCTGCAGCACCACCGCAGCCAGCAGCACCATCCATGCCCAGCCCTGGTCCTGGGGCTTGGCAGCTTTGCGTTCCCCTGCTCCTCCTTGGGACATGACAGCTTCTTTCTCCTCCCAGGCCAGCCTGCTGGGGAAGGAAGGGCAGCTACCACGCAACCCTCAGCCCAGCCTAGGGGCCTATGGGGCAGAGCTGATGGTATTCCCAAGGCTCGGAGGCACTGGAGCGTCCCGCACCTTTGCGGCTGGCTCCTTAGACCTCTTGCTCTGCATTTCTCCTAGCACCTCCCTTCATTCTCGCCACGGGATCCTGGCAACGGATTGCTTCAGAAACAACTGCCTTCCCCTTTTATATTTCACAAGCCTGTGACCACAGGCAGGTACAGGGCAGGACCACACCTCCTTGGAGGAATGAATCGGCCTTACCTAATTCCCGCCCTTATTTTCCCTTTCACCTGCTTTCATCATATGGAGTCCCCTTGCTGACAATGGCTAAGGTCACCCAGTGCTGTGCCCAGAAGAGGAGGAAAAACCCCGCCGGTGCCAAGAACAACAGAACCACATAAAGCCTGCGTGTGGCAGCAGGGCTGGTGCGGAGCTGGCAGGGAGGCTGCACCTCCCCACACAGTGCTAGTGGGGAAAAACCAGTTTGAAAGCCATTAGTTCATTAGGATGCGGTGATCGCAGAGAGGATCTTGCTTTGCCTCTGGTTAAAGCTTCTTCAGAGACATCCCAGCCTTGATTTCTCTGAGGCTGGCTGCACGAAACGCATCGCAATAGCATTCCCCATCCACACGAATAAACATGCATAAGAAAAAACCACCTTTGGCAGCTGGATGAGCTCAGAGGAATGCCCATAAGGTCAGAGCATAGTGCAATATTGATCTAGCTCTCCAATACTGATTTTTCCTAGAAGAAATAGCCACGTCTGGGCTTTGTGTGCAGCTTTAAAGGCGAGCAGCAGTTTGACTCTACTCGTTAGTTCATATATGCCATGGGGCAGAAAGTTCCATACCTCGGGTTGAGACAAGGATGGGTCAAGCGGAGGGTGGCGAGCGTGTGGCTGCGCGGGCAGCTCATCCCCTGTGTGCGCAGCCCAGGGCCAGCACTTCTGCTTCAGTAGCCACTGAAAGCCTTGATGCAGCCTTTTGCAGTGTTAACCTCGGCATCACTCCTGTGAGCAGGGCTCTGGGGCTGGCTCCCAGCCCAAAGGACAGAAAACAAGGCTGGGAGCAGGGGAGGGGGGCCCGTGGGAAGGGGCTCTGAGATGCAAATCACGGTGCTGGTGCTCAGCACACTTTAATCCTTTGTCCACTTTAGCCGGGCGCAGATAATGCAGCTAATTCAAGCGCTTGTCTCTCTGGTGCGAATTAGCTGGAGGACAGCCTAAAGCCTCTCCCCGGCAACAGCGAACCTGCAATAAAAGGCAGAAGCACACAGCTCCTCTCTGTTCCCACACCGCTCCGTTGCTCCAGCACATTTCTGGCTCCCCACACCTCTCAAAGCACGCCCGCTCCCATGGAAGGGCTCCCCAGCGGGGCCGCACATCCCACGGCTCTCATCCACCTTCTGCCCCTGGCTTCAGGACACCCTTTTCCCCGGGGCAGCCCAACCTGGATGGACCCTGGCGCTGGGGTGCCAAGAGCACGGTGAGCTCCTCGCTGCCTCCCCGCTGCCTGCACAGAGGTAAAGGAAGGAGCTGGCTCCAGCGCTGGCTCAGCCGGATGTGCCACACGGAACACCAGCAGCGCCGCAGAACCGTGCTTTAACCCTTCCCAGGGTAACCACATCGGATGGACGGGGCAGCCGGGGGGGAGGGACGGGGGACGTGTGTTTTAGTGCTCCTATGGGCTCGGTGGTCCTCAAAGCCTGCTCCTGGGGTGGAGCAGGGACATCTGCGGGACGCGGTTTCCCCATGCATGTGACCGCCTCGTGCTGATGGTGTTGGGGACGGGACTGAAGTTCACTGCAATAACCACGCCTGGGTGCCTACTGCAAACACTGCTGCGCTGGGAGCGCATGGATGTGCAAAGGTGCTGCCCTCTACCAGCCCACGCGGCGCCCGGGATGCAGGGGTGCCATGGACAGGACACGGGGGAGCGCGCTGCTGGTTCCAAGTCTTTCTCCCTCGCCAGTCACTGGTGATAGCTCCCCCTCATTCAGGGCTGGATGCTGTTTCTTCTTCCTCCAGCGGCCCCCAAGACCTGGGGTTTCCCGAGCTGTGATGGAGCAGCCCTAGTAGTTGTTTACGGCAGCAGACCAGGGATGCTCACACGGTGTCTTTCCCTCCTTCTTCCATGCCTCAGTTTCCCTCAGCTGTGATGGGGACTGGGATGAGGGTTGCGGGATGCTGCTCCCCCACAGGGACAAGCAGCTCTTTATGCTGAGAAACACAAGGGCCTGGGGCATTTATGTAGCTCACTTCCGAGGAAGAGGTTTATAATGAGCCTGAAAATGGTGATGATGATGTCCATATACCATCCTCAGTGAGGGCCTGCAGCTTGGTGGGTACCTCCATGGGGAGAAGAGCGGCCCAGTTCACCGTTACAGCCACCCAGGAGGGATGCTCCAGTGGGGAAACCAGAAGTGTGGCTGGTGGGGGGGCGGGACGGGACACAGGACCCCTGCCCCACTGATGGGCTTGGAGGGGTGCTCAGAGACCAGGCGATGCCAGTGGCTTGGGATGGAGATGGAGAGGAAAGTTTCTCGTTCATGGTACATTAGGTCTCTGTCCTGCTGCCCAGCAGCATCCTCCTGCCGGCCCAGCTCAGCCCGGCGTGTGCTGGACATGGGGTTTATGAATGTGTAAAGTAAGCTGCATGCACACAAGGGAGATGTTTACTGTAAACAGAGAGGGGTGGTTTTAAACCGCTTTCTGGGGTCACCCGGGGTCTGCTGGGGGGAGGAAAGCCAAGCACATCTCTTGTAAATACCTTTATAAGTGACTTTTTAAGTACCTTTTCATCCTGACCCCTGGCTTGCTTTGCCATCCTCTCCCAGCTGTGTTCTAGCCCAGATGACTTTTCCAAGGTCACCCACTGAGCTGACAGCAGAGAATCCACATCTGGCTCTGATTAAAGCAATGGCCCAAGTGCTGCAGCACAGCCTGATGCTATGGGCTTGTGTCTTTGGGATGTCACTTGTCAGTAGCCCTGAAGGGTCAGGCTGTGCCCAGGGCCATAGGTCCTGTGCTCTCTGCATGCCCTTACTGGGATGTTAGAGATCTATAAGCTGGTCCCCAGCTCAGCAGCTCTTTTGGGGCAGATCATGTGGAAACCGAAGCGCAAATACCCCAGAGACTGCAAATCGCTTTGAGAAATGCTCACTGCATCTGCTCCTGAGATCCAGGTTAGCGAACAGCCTGACACAGGTTGAATCTTGGGGAGGAAGCTGGCTGCTGTTTGGGTTTGGGTTTTAAGCAAGAGGAACTAAGTGATGTTTCAGCAGTGGGATTGCAGAGTGATAGCTGGGGGCTATTCCTGTTCCACGCTGAATTAACCTCCTGCTCTGGTGCTGCCCTTGAACCCCACCAGACCCAGCAGAAACCAAGCTCTCAGAGCACCCCAAAACACATTCCTGGCCTGAGACCGAGGCAGGATCTGAACAACCCTGGCAAACCCCCTGCGGAGCAGCTCTGCTGGTGCTGAGCGGATGGGGCTGTGCCAAGGGTGGGGAAGTGCTGGTTTATCAGGAGCTTCCCAAGCAGTTCCCATAGCATCACTCCCAAGTCCTCTGCCTGCAAAGGGCATCAGGGTCCTGCTTGCACTGATGGGTCCTGATCAGTTTGATCAGCCCCATCTGCGGCCTCCTCCCACACCCCTTCCACCCCATTAGCTCTCCAGCTGCATTTAAGTCCAGATCTTTGCCTTAGATCAGGCTTTGCTCTGTCTCACTGCTGGTTTCTGCTCTCACTTTGGCTCTGCCTGGCTGCTCTGTGCTCATTCGTCACCGTAACGTGGGTGTAACAACACCAGGTGAGACATTCCCCCTCTGGGACCGTGCTTAATGACCAGTAGTGGGGATAACGCTGCTTGGCATGGAGATGGGAAGCGAGGGTTGAGGAGGCAGCTGGCACCAGGGCATGCACTGACAGCTCCCATTGGCTCGCAGGAATCCAGCAAGACGGGGCTTGTCGCTGTGTTTTACCCTGGTGGGTGACTGCAGGTGGTTTGGGTGTGATCCGGCCCTTGCTGCTGTCCCCATGGTCACTGGCTCATGTGTGGCACCCTGACCTGCCACACTGCCCTGTGCTGCCCTTGGAGTGGGACTGATGCTGGCACAGCGCTGCCCCTGTGGCTGGGGCTCAGCTAGAACCTGGTCACTGAGGCTCCCTGGAAGCTGCTGGTGCTGTTCTGGCAGCTGTTTCCTTGTGAGGATGAGGAAGGTGTCCTGAAAAGTGGGGCTTTTGAAGAGATGCAGTTACCTGATTGCTGGCTGCATGCAGTAGATAAGGATGTGGCACAAGAAGGGGGCAATGGGCTGTGCTGCAGCTGCGGGTGAGTCTAACCCTGCTGCTGCCCATCTCCCCCATGGGTTGACATGTAGGGATGCTGTGCTGTGGTGTGTGGTGTTCCCTCTAGTAGGTCTTGTCTATCAGGCTCTTAATTCTTGTTTACCTTGGCTTGTATTAATGAGGAATAAGGGGTTTAATGGGTGAAAGGTTCAGAAGTGTTTTCCTTGGTGGATGCTGGATCCTTGGAGCAGGTGGAGGTTGTTGGGGGTTAAGGTGTGAAGCCACAACTTGGGTTTTTAGGATCCCAGCAGGTTTTGGGCTCCAGTCACCCAAGAGAAGCAGCTTTGGCTGTGCTGCTCCCAGCAGACGCTGTTATCCCAGCCAGGTCCTGCTCTCCTTTGTCTTTTGTCCAAGCACAGTCGCTCCAAGCAATGTGCAGGTGATACCTGGAAGTCACAACAGGGCAGGAGAGGAGATCCAGCACCTTAGCACCAACAAAGGGGGATCATGATGGTTCAGCTTTGTGATTCCTTGAAAAGAAAGGCAGGAGCTCTTCCTCCTGCTGGGAAGCTGCGTGCCTCAGGGACATGTTATCGCATGGAAACAGCTAAATGTGTCCTTTAGCCTTTGTTTCATGGGTAAACCCCCTTTGGTTTGGCAAACACAACCACCCCCTTCCTTTTTCCATGTTTCTCTGCATTTGGTTTTAGATGACACCCCACTGAACCGTTAGGATGAGGATGACTGTTCAGTGCTTCAGTGAGTCATCTGCTTCTCCCCAACACCCTGAACTCAGTGCCTGGGTTAAGGGCCTGACCCTTTGCTTGGTTGCCCCCAGTTTTCCTCATCTTCAGCCCCTGCCATTTGAATGCATTAGGCCCACGTGTGTGTGTTCCTGCCTGTGCTGCTGGAGCTGCTGCCCTGATCGAAGTCACGGGTGGAAGGTGCTCACCTTCCCCAAGGGTTTTCTTGGTGCTGCAGACCCCTGCGGAGCTCAGCTCAGGGAGGGTCTGATGGAGACCCATGGCACTTGATGTCAACTCACACTTCTGGCCAATGATGGGCTTGTATGGGGCTCCCACCTCCTGAAGTCTGGGGAGTTCTTAGGAAGGATGGAGGCTTCTGATAGGGGATATTGCCACAGGGTCAAACGTTGATGCCTTTGCCTGTGTTACACCACAATCTGAAGACAGTTGCTGGGGTTTGTAGCCCCTCTTTACTGTGGGTTGGAGAAAAGCCCATACTTCTCAAACCCTGGAAGGGAGAGGGTACCTGTGGGTTATTTGGCCATGTGAAAGTTGGGTTTTGGCTGCCTCAAACCCAGATCAAGGTGAATGGCGATGGCCAAGGTCCTTGTTTCCCAAACAAGGTAGTGAGCTGGGCTGAAAACATCTGCAGGCTTTCTGGCTGCAAATAGATCTGGCTTGTGATGGCTTTGTTCTGGGTGAAGGGGGTGGGTAAGTGA